AAGTGGAGGCAGACTGATAACACTTATATACAAACAAAATATATACAGTGGTACCTCGGTTTACGAACTTAATCTGTTCCAGAAGTCTGTTCTTAAACCAAAGCCGTTCTTAAACCGAGGTGCGCTTTCCCTAATGAGGCCTCCTGCCACTGGTGCCCGTCCACTGTTCAGATTCCGTTCGTAGACCAAGGTAAAGTTCGCAAACTGGGACACTACTTCCGGTTTTGCGGAGTTCGTATACTGAATAGTTCGTAAACAGGGCTGTTCTTGAACCGAGGTACCACTTCACAGGGTAAGCTCTAAAACCAGGGGTTCTGCACAGTGCTTTTTTCTGGAAAATGGTGGGGGAACTCACCATGAAGTTTCTTTGTTTCCTGCGTTCCCAGTCACAGTGCCATATCCCCCCTCCCCTGGCAGTGGCTAAATGTAACTCAGGCAGACAAAGATCTGGATTAGAAATGGCCACAATTTTAATGATTACAGGTATAGGTAGGCATTTGTGTATATCAGTTCCAGCCCCCACAAACAATTTTTATTTATTTATTTAATGTAAGAAAAAAGGTAAGGGAGCTCAGTTCCCCTCAGTTCCTGCTCAAAGAAACTCCTGGTTCTGCAGATTTTCCTTGTGGTTTTGGAACAGCAAATCCTCCTTTGTTATGTTACAGCGGCAGTAGGTACCAACTGGCTAGTTCCAATGACACTAATCCATGGAATTGCTTCTAATCTCTGGAATGGGAGATGAATATGAATGTGCATAAATAACTTCACTTAAAAACAAACAAACAGAAGCTCAGGTAGTGCACCTGATACATGAAGTGAAAGGCAAGACTGAGCACCATTACACTCACAGATACGATGTTTCAGTGTGTGAATGTATGCACCCCCATTGCAAAGCTGGGCTCACGCTGCAGCTGGATCTGTCTGTTCAATAATAGCACATGTGTTTTCAGCTATAATGACATAACCAGCTATATTTGCTTGTATGTACTGATGAACCCCATGTACTGATGATGCATGTAAAATCTTAAACGGGGTGGGTTTTTGACGGTAGGGTTCCTGGCGTTTGTAGACGCCTGGGAACTTCCGCATTGGTTCGTTTCACACACACACACTCTAGGCTAAGAAATGGTGTGTTTCTCTAAGTTTGGGGTTGGCACTGTTGGGCAGTTGCTGATGGCCCAAGCAACTCTGGATGATCTATCAATTTTGGTGATACACATTTTTTTTAATCCACAGGAAAATCTGCCAGCATTTCTCTTAATACACACATTTTTGTATGCAGTTTTGACTAATGTGCATATTTTTCAGTTGTTAAGCATTTGTGTATACAGTATAGCATGTGGAATTATGGATAATTTTTTTACCTTTAAGAGCGCTATATTTCTAGAACGTAAAAAAGCTAGGATTTCCTAAACTTCATTGCTTTGCCTTGACTTGTCTTGTAGTCCATCACTTTTTCATATTTTACTGTTATCACATGGGACAACCCTTGTCCAGTCTGTTTCTGGCTCACTGTCCTACTTGCCTCTGAAACTTCTTTTAAGTTTCCACTGTGGCACAGCAGAAGAGGCAAGCTGCATTTCAGGTTAAATTCTAAGATTGGCACTGAAAAGCAGACTTTTCTCTCTTCAGGGTGCAGTAGAAACTTTGAAGAACACTTTGGTTCCTCAGCATATACAGGCATCCACAGTACTGCTATTTTAAATGCTTGCTTAAAACACATTATTTGACCCAGGTTTTCCATGCGGGATGATCCACAATGTTGATACATTAATCTGGCCTACTGGTTTGCAGTGCACTTTGCAACTGTTTTATGAATGTGATTTCATTGTTGATTTCATGTTGTCCTCTGCCATATGATGTTTTTGCTTAATGTTGGCAGCAAACTCCCCCCCCCCTCACATTAATACATGAATGGTTTGTTTTGTTTTTATGAAGATCTTGCTTGGGGGTGGGCACCTGTAAATGCAGTGTTTAAGAACCAGTGCAATAAAGTATACCAAATGTGGAATAGCTTAATCACTTCATAAAGCTAATGCCATTTTGCTTTGCTCTTAAGCTAATAATTTACATGAGGTAATAAAACTGCAGGTATAGATTTCAGGGGAGCAAGACCCAAGTACAATTAAGGGGCTGATAATAGGTCTCTTTTGTATGATTACATCTTTGCCCAAATTGATGTTCTTTAGAACATCTAGTTTACAAATATGCTAGTCTTCAGTGAACATTAAATGCAACCCTGTTATTAACAGGGAAACACAAACTTGTTTGAAACATGTGTCTTCTGTTCTGAATTAGTCCCTGACATATCCTCCCCTACTATTATAGTACTGGAGGTGGGAGAGAACCTTAAGTGCCTCGACCCATTTAACCTTAATTGCTTTGTTTTTAATAGAGGCTTACTAACTAAAAGAACCAAATTATTGCTTGAATTAGGCTGTTCTAATCTTAATTAAAAGCTTTCCTTTATAATCGGAAACAGCCTACAATTTTTTTTAGAAAAAACAAACAACCCGTAAGCCTTTCTTAAATGGGTTGTTTGAAAGCTCAAATACCTTTTAGATAATAATTTAGTCTCCATACAGCTACTCATTACCGTAGATGTATTCCAGTTAATTAAAATTTTAAAAAGCCTTCTCTATGTGGTTTTGTCCTACTTTTCAATTGCTTGTTTATTTAGAGGGGCTGTGAGCAACAGATTCTGAAAATGGTTTGTAGTTTGGGTACTTACAGGTTCCTCAATCAGCACATGAAGCCTTCAAGCTCTGTGCTTGCTTTTTTTAAAAAAAAAATTGTCCAAGATTATTTGATTAGTTACAAATAAAATTTAATTAAAAATGAATGTGAATCTTGTGAATTCACAAGATTACCATAGAAGCTTTTACCAAGAGAGCCTTGCCTCAGCCCCAAATTCCAGGTTTTTAGAAAAGCAGACAAGATGTTTTTGTTTTCACAAGCTTTTTGATAGCCTGCAGATAATTTCTTTCATGTTTTGATTATTGTTAGTTAGTTATTGATTTGGTAATATTTTGGGCTTGTTTTGTATGAATCTGGTTTTCAGGGAATGTATTAGTTAGTTAGTTATTGGTTTGGTAATATTTTGGGCTTGTTTTGTATGAATCTGGTTTTCAGGGAATGTATTAGAATCCCTTAGCTATGGTCAACCCTGTAAGGCAGGATCAGTATTAGCATCATGATATTTCAGATGTGAAGTGTCTTGAGTGCGAAAGGAATGAGATAGTTGTCTTGGTCATCTCAGGCCATCTAGGGCAGTAGCTCCAAAACACTCCCCCCACCCGCTGGACCATTTGAAAACTGCTGAGGGCCTTTGTGGACCACTTAAATTATTTTTCTGCCCGTAGCAAGTGTAAATGCAGTGTGCGAGATGCTGCATGATTTTTTATCGTATTATTGCTGCTTCTTTTATTTCTTACATTTTTAGTGTATTATGATCCAAATTCTATAGAATTATAATGCAGTAAATCACAATCCGTAAGAAATAAAAGAAGCAATAAAATGCAATTAAAAATCAAAATGAATACAGGCAGCAACTGTTTTAGGCGCATCCAGTATGTGTGTGACTGTACACTTGGGCATCATGCACAACCCAGAAGTGACCTGAAAATGTCACAAACGTCACACATGGGGCAGGGTGGGGCAGGGGTGGAATGGGGTGTTTGCTGGTTTTTTCAATGGTGTTGCAAATATACACAATTTCACATAAATGCACGGTGCCTTGGAACATAACCCCCATGTAAATCAGGAGGTGCCTGTATGTAATGCGATGGATTGTTGCATCTCCCATCATCAACCACAAATCTACAGCCATGCTGAGGACCACTTGAACGAAGCTTGCTGACCAGTGGTGGCCCATGGACCACAGTTTGAGAACCCCTGACCTAGGGAATTCATACCAAGGCTTAGCCTTCACAGTTTAGCCACTTACAGTACATTCGCTTAAAATGTTATAGTTATTTAAGAGACTAGGCTCAGCGTGTCTGCACTGGCTAGAGGGAACATAGAATACAAGCAAAAATCTCAACTTCGTGCAGTGATCTCAGTGATCTTTGTTCTTTTGGGCTTAATGCTACATGAAAGTATGTATGGATTATGTCAGTGTATTTTTGTGAGGGAGAAAGTTTTGGTCTTTAAAAACACTGACATCTTTGAAATAAGCATGTAATGATCTGTTAAAGTTAGCATTTATGAAATCAGAAGTTGCATCCTAGCTTTGTCTTCTGCATAATTGTGACCTTTATTTTCAGTCCTATACACATTTACCTGGCAGCAAGCCCTGTGGCACTCAGTGGAACTTACTTTTGAGTAGACAAGCATAATATTATGCTATAAGCGATCAAGGCCGAGATAACACAATGGAAAATTTGTGCTTGATCTTACTAAAGGGCTCATGGGACATAACTGGAGAATTGTTGTCCTCTTCCATTTGGAATTTTGCACCAGAACTGGCATGCACCTGTGTTTTTTGAACATAATCCTGCAGCCCCCAAGAGAGAAAGAATAAATGCATGATGGATAGATTAAAAGAGAGCAGGACGAAGAAGAGAGAGAGGGTAGGTGCTTATGTGTCTTTAGGGTGTGTGTGTTTGTGTAAGGAAGTACAGTATAGATGCTTTTAACCCAAGCATGCATTTGGGCAGGACTTTTTTTCAGCCGGAACTCACCGGAAATGAGTTCTGGCACCTCTCAGGTGGGCGCCATTGCCATTCTAAGAGAACGAGGGAGGTGTTTATGGTGAATTCCGGCACTTCTTTTTCTAGAAAAATAGCACTGCATTTGGGGACCCATTTCATAATCATTTACCATATATTTGCATGGTGGTGGTGCTCCTGTTGCAACCCAGCTTGGATCAGGTCCAGACCCACCAGCTGAAGACCACTGCTGTATCCAGATGGCAAAGATTCATAGACTCATAGAATTGGAGAGTTGTAAGGGACCACTAGAGTCATCTAGCCCAACCCCCAGCAATGCAGGAATCTTTTTGCTGAACTTGGGGCTTGAACCCACAACCCTGAGATTAAGTGTCTCACACCTTATTGACTTGGGTCCCAGCTGAACCCACTTTAGGTAAAGGGACCCCTGACAGTTAAGTCCGGTTGCAAACGACTCTAGGGTTGCGGTGCTCATCTCGCTGTATAGGCCGAGGGAGCCGGCGTTTATCCGCAGACAGCTTTCCGGGTCATGTGGCCAGCACGACTAAGCCGCTTCTGGCGAACCAGAGCAGCGCAGGGAAATGCCATTCACCTCCCCGCTGGAGTGGTACCTATTAATCTACTTGCACTTTGACATGCTTTCGAACTGCTAGGTTGGTAGGAGCAACGGGAGCTCAGCCCGTCACGGGGATTCGAATCACCGGCCTTTTGATCGGCAAGCCCAAAGGCTCAGTGGTTTAGACCACAGCGCCACCCGCGTCCCACTTGAATGTGTTACAAATTGCAGCTATTTAGTAAGAACTATAAGCATTTCTGTGTATTTATTTTTAAAGGAAACTGGTACAGTCTCTCTGAGAAGGCAGACCAGAACGTGATTATTCCCGAATAAAGAAATACTGGGCACTTCACATAGGAAAAAGCTTCCAGCCATTACAGCAGGATAATGGGAGATCAGGCACAATGTGCTTTGTTCTGTTGGTTTATTTCATTTTATATTTTGTGAGAATGTAGTATGCCATTTCCTAGCTCTCAAAGATAAACTTTAAACATATTAAAATCAGAGTTATTAGCAACAATAGAAAGTAAGATAACAGCGTTCATACACTTCAAAAATTACCTAACAAAATTCCTAAGTGGTCAATCCAGAAGCAGCTGAAAAAGACTGATCTTGCAGGCAATTCTGAAACCAAATAAGGAAGAAGTGCAACTTGGTCCTTGTTGTGGGAGTACAGAGTGGCACCATTATTCAAGTGTCCCTCTTTTCATCTGTGAAATGCTGGAATTGAGGAAGTCCTTAAAAAACCCTCTGGCTTGGAGAGCTCGATAGAGGCGATGCAACTGCGTTAGAATATTAAGTGTTAATTGCAAAAACAGTTGTGTATAATGCTCTGTAAGAGTATGGTTTGTTTTTATTTTATTTTAGGATTTTGTAGGGCGTCTGGTGCATAAAGGCCTTCCCTTGCAAGAGAATATGAGATAGCTTTGCTCTAACTCTGATAATAGGAATACTGGCTAAGAAGAACAGCAGTAGTTTAATCCCCTCTGAAGCAGCAGTGCAAACAGTATAGAGACAAAGTACTTAGCTGCACAAGTTAATGACAGTGTAAACTACTGTTGTTTGGGAAGTCAAATGCAAATGAACACGGCGGTACAAAGAACATTGCAGAGTAAGGGAAGAAAGCTGTAGCTAGGAATAAAGTACTGTACAGTTATTGGTGAATGTTCATTTCCCTTTTGCAGCTCCTCTGTTAAATTCTACCTTGCAGGGGGAGAAGAATGTTTTGGTGCAACTTACTAGCCCATCCCTTCAAACTTGGTCTATTACACTTTCAGGTTTTCTGTTGAATGAACATGAACATCAAAGCAGAGCTTTTTTGTTAGAAACACTGAAGCATGAAGCGCTGTTTGGAATTTAAGGTTACTTTAGTTTTTGTTGTAAGAAAAAAGTGTGTAAATCGGTATGGTTGAAGTAATCAGAAGTTATCTCCCTATATATGTGGTTAGGGTACCAATTAGTAGCAGGACAGAGTAGCAGTTTTATTTAGTTATTATAAAAAAAAACTTTTTAAACTGCTTTGTGTTTAAAGTTCTCTGAGTGGTATATAAAAATACAAGCAAGAAAAAACCATCATAAAAACAGGAATCAAGCAATAAACAGGGTTCAGCCAGATGCATTTTTAAAGTAATATTTTTGTTGTTGTGGGGTTCATATTGCATCTCTCACCACAGATGATCCTATATAAAGTGATGGTCCTATGTAAAATGATCCTATATAAAATACAGTACGACAATAAAATGCACTAAAGCATTTCAACAAATATAATTTTGCCTTCCAAAGTTACAGATAATATGCATTTTAGCAGGATCCTTCATGTGCTGAATACTGGGGTGATTATGCTGGAGTGATTTACCATTTTTCTTGACTTTTGTCTAACCTGGATAACTTAAGGTGATCCTCTGTTGGGTACTGATGCTTAGGTACAGTAGAGCATAAGACACAGGCCATATGCTTCTGCAAGAGGGAGGGGCTGAGACCACTATTTGTGGGATGATGTGTGGGTGGGCGACGGACGGACATGACCATTATGTCCAGAAAAGGTGATGGATAGCAGGAGGTGGCATTAGCCAGCTCACAGGGCATGCTGTAGCTTTGTTGGTGACTGTTGGTATGTTAGGCAAGCATTCGCGCAAAAATACGGAAAATATAAGAGATATTTACGAAATGACAACAGCGGCATAAAGTCTACGGCAGCATTTGATTGACCCTGGATTAATGAAATATAAATAAAATAAGTCAAAGGTTAAGTACTGTTCTAAGAATGTATTAGAAAGGAAACAAAGGATAAGCTAATAATGTTAGGTATATTCACCATCAGAAAGAAAATACACACCGGGAAATGATAGGAAGTCCAATTATGGGTGTTTTTTTTGGTTTTTTGTTATCTATGTTAATACCGGTAAATAGAGAAGAAAACAACAGACAGTAGAAATATAAATTAAGTTTATTGTTTGTTAACAAATGGAGTATTACTTGTATATGGTTGTTGTTTTGTTTATAAGATTCATACTCATGTCTGGTTAAAGAAGATGTATACTATATTTGTTGTATAAGATTGTCAATAAAGTAATAAAAAAAGAGGAAAGCTAGCGTTGTATGTCACTGTACCTAAGTCCCGGGCTCTTTCCCCATAGAGGCTTCCAGTACATTCTCCTGGAACCAACTGCAGCTGTTGCTGAGAAATGATTTCTGATCCAATGAATGTGCCTTCGCATTAAAATCTTCAGATGGGGCACTGCTCTGGTTGTCTTCTCTGTTGCAGGTTGGGGCCAAATTAAGCATGATATCATTAAATACATGTTTGCATTTAACATACAGGTTTGGTTTTTTCCAAGGGCACACATAGCATCAGATAGAATGGCTGATAATTGTTTTCCGCAAAGAAAAGGCCAGCTCTAGATGAAGGAAGGGGAAGGAACAGTTTAACTGGAAATGCGCATTTTATTTCATGTCTAATTTCACCCTCAGATTGGCATTTGCTGAGAAGAGGAGAGCCTTCTTTGCTTTGGCACCTGACGTGTGGACTCCTCTTCCTCAGCAGCTGTCAATCTCTACTTTCTTCCTGCTTATTCCACCAGGGTTTGGGCCTGTAATGTGGTTTGATTTTGTTGTTGTAAACTATGATTCTGTGTATATTGACTTTTAAATATTATACAGTAATGATTTTATGTTACTTTATTGTTGGAAGCCAGGGGGTTGCCAAAATGGGGCTGTGGGCGCATGTGTGACCACAGAAATTTTTCCAGGGGCACACAGGGTCTCCTCCCCTTCCTCCACTAGTGTTTGGCTTGAGAACCACATCCTATTGTAGCCAGTGTAATAGGTTTCAGTGTGTCCTGGTGTGTGTGGCACCCACAACAGCTCCTCCATTTGCAATTCATGTGCCTATTGGCCCCCCAAAGTTGGTGGCCTCGGTTGTAAACCATCTCAAGGGCAGTTAGAGACTGAGTTGATCTCCATGTTAGGTTAAAGGATTACCCACATTGTCCTTGATTTGTACCCCCTTCCTTTCTCTAACCTAAGTAACCGTTGTTGTTGTTGTTGTTGTTGTTGAGTGTTTGCCATTAATTCCTGTGGGGAAAATTTAAGTGTTGCTCTTGAAGTAAGACACTATCTGCCATCCATGACTGATGCTGAATGGATCAGAAAATACCCCTCAGGATCTCCCCAAAAATCATCTTTGCTTATCAACAGAGTTGGGCATCTTGTTTGATCTTTTTGTTGTATAAATTTATACCCTGTGTTTCAGGAAAATTTCTAACATTTAATATTGGGGAGTTGGGCTTGGAAATTGTTTTCCTTTAGGCATACGGAAGCTGGAGTAGTTCTTTTATCTATTTTTCTATTCTTTTAGTTATTTTTCCTCTGTTCTTTTTCCTCTTTCTCTTTTTTATATAATTTTGTTTTGTGAGGATTATGAGTATTGTATTCTATTTAATATTTTCTTTCTCTTTATTATTCTTCCTTTTTGATATATTGCTTTTTATTATCTTTTTATAAATGTGTTTGGATTTTAGTGCTCAACAGGTTAAAAACCTTCACTAGAATTGTTCTTTAAAAAGAAATTGTTTTCCTTTCTTTTTTTACTCTTCTGCTGTTGATTTTAATTATCTATATATGTTTGTTATTAACTGTTTTTATGCATAATTTTTATATCTCTTGTGTAAATTGTTTTATTACAATTGTTTTATTACAGTTGTTTTATTACAAGTGGAATATAAATTTGGTCAGTTAATTAATTAAATATCTTGCCAGTCACACATGTGGGAAGAATGTGGAGAGAAAGCAGGAAAAGCAACAAAGATTCTGTGGCACCTTAAAAACTATGAAATTAACGGTCCCATAAGCTACCATGGCTTATCTGCTTCCTTCGTTTTGAAAAATTCATATGCCACTTAGTCACGAATCTTTCTAAGGAATTTACGCAATAAAATTAGCAAAACTGTTAAAATAATTGTGCATATGATAATCATAAATGGAAAAAAATAAAATCAGTAAAATGTTTTTTTTAAAAAGGTTTATTTGAGGCTGGCTGAAGTGAAGCATGGGAGGGGAACCGGCCTTCATCCGATGCCTTGGTCTCCTCAGCCGGCAGCTGTGTTTGTAAGCACAAACTCACACAAGGAAAGAACCGGCCAAAGGGCCTTGAAATGCACAGCTTGTCTTGTATTAGATAACCTTTTAGAACTACAGAAGTAATAATAATAATAATAATAATAGTAATCACAAAAACGAGTTCACAAAAGCTTAGTACACAAAACAGTCTTTATTTAGAAATGTGCCTGGCCTTTCGACAGGGTCATATTTACCTCCTGGGACATTTATGCCTCCTTTTCTAACACA